AGAAAGTTCTTAATCCAATGACACATCATTGCAGGCATTCCAGATTGTGCAGTTTCAGTACCCGTTTCTCTGGGATTACAGTGTTAAATGCCGAACTGAAGTCAACAAATAGCATCCTGACATAAGTGTTAGAATGCTCCAGGTGGGACAGAGCTGTGTGTAGTGCTATTGAGACAGCATCCTCTGTTGATCGGTTCTCTCTGTAGGCAAACTGATGGCTGTCCAGACCAACAGGGATGACGTCCTTGATGCGCTTCAGGACGATCCTCTCAGAGCACTTCATGATTACTGGTGTCAGAGCAACAGGGCGGTATTTATTGAGGCAGGTGACAGCTGATTTCTTGGGCACAGGCACAATGATGGAGGACTTGAGGCAAACAGGGACTGAAGCAAAATGCAGGGACAGGTTAAAAATGTCCAGGAAAACTCCTGCCAGCTGATCTGCACATAGCTTCAAAACCCAGCCTAACACCCTGTCTGGTCCAGCAGCCTTGTTGGTGTTGATCCTCCTCAGGGTGGAGCTCACCTGGTGTAGCTGCAGGACGAGAGGCTGGTGTTGTTCCTCGAGCTGAGGGAGATGTACAGTTCCTCTGCTGCCAGGTGTACTGAAGTGTGCGAAGAAACCATTTTAAAAGGTCTGCATTTCACTGCCAGATATTCCAAGTCAGGGGAGCAGTGTGTTCCAATGATGGTCGTAGCTGTGCACCAGAAGTTGTGGACGTACAGCGCCAGACCTCCGCCCCTCTGTTTAGCAGATGGTGCAGTCCTGTCTGCTCGAAACAAGGATCATCCCTCCAGCTCCACCGCAGCATCTGTGATGTTGTCATCCAACCAGGTTTCAGTTACAATCGCCACACAGCTGTCCATCCTCTATGAGATGATCTGCAGCCGAATCTTGTCCATTTTGTTGGTTAGTGACCTGGCGTTTGTGAGGAAGAGACTAGGGAGTGCCGGCCTGTGTGGGTTAACATGTAGCCTAGCGCGCAGGCCGCTCCTCTTACCTTGCTTTTGTTTACGGTTTCGCCTCCGTCTCCTAGGCCACAAAGGGGGGATGGTGAGAGTTGTAGTGGTCCGGTGTAACTCTGGTGGAATAATGTCCGGCTTCGTGGGTGTGTAAATTTTGTATTGTTTTCCTGTTGTAAGTAGTCCAGCTCCTCCATACTGGATGGTGGCTTCAGAAAGCTGTGGTGACCACAAAAACACGAACAAAGACACAAATAAAAAATAAATAAAAAAAAATTTAAAAAGCCGAGAGCCCCGAACTGCTGCGCGCCACCATGTTCATAACGTCCTAAACAAAGTGAAGTAGAAATTAAAATCTTATTTTTTGATTGTTTCACTGTAGTCACATTCTAAAGCACAAATAAACACAAGCACACCTCTGGACAACTCTGGGGGAAGGATTTTTGTGTGAAAGCAAGCAAAACACACACTTCTGTCAGTTCTGCTCTGCAGTGCATGTGTGTCCTGAAACAGAGTGTTAAAAATTAATAAATCAGTCAGATAATAATTAGACATTAATGTGTTAGACTTTAATGTGTTAGTAATGCAGTTTAGTAAGATTCAAAGTCTGCTCCAGTCTGCTTTGCTTCAAGGATAGAAGACAATGTTGATTCTGAAATGTGAGCTACAGTTACCATGACACTAATTGTTGTTAGAATTATGTTTGAATCATTGTTTTAGTTACGCAGCATGTAACAACACACATACACATGGAATTCTTCATTTTGTTATGACCAGCTGCTCCAAGCCTGTGGAGCTCTAGAAAAGAGAAGGAGACGCCGGACTGTCTCCAACTCATGATGTTTTTATATCTGTCTGTGTAAGGGGTTAGCCCAAAAACTTATAAATGTATTAGGCTCTGTGTTCTGGGGACTTCTCTTCTCCGGCAGTTGTCTGGAGCAGGGCGCTACCCGGGTTGTGTTCCGTAACTTTTATTGTGGCTTTTAAATAAATCTGCACTAAAATGAAGAAAGACGGACTCCTTCCTTACTCAGATCTGTCCAATAAAAGAACTGGGGTATAACAAGACCAGAAAATTGATAGGCTACTGTAATTTCCAAGTTCCATTTATAAACATATCAAACAAAATCAGATAACAGCCCATTTTATTTCTTTTTGAAATTGGCCCTAAAGTACAGGGACCGTCCGACGTCTTAATAAGCATCATGCCTCTAACGTTTAATTTGAAGCTGCTTTTTAAGTTTTGCTTTCTCTAAACCAAGCCCTGTGAGTCAACACATAACCACAAAACTTTTTAAACACTGTCTTTGAGCAGCACCTCCGTCGCTCATCAGCAAACTACTTTTTGTCACTTTCACTTTGAGAGAAATGTACAGTAGGCTAGTTCAGACTTTAGCTCTGGGCACACTCCCCGGATATCTTTTGTGTTTTCACCACTTCGGTTTTTCTCCACTTGTTTCCCCACAGGTTTATCTGCTTAATTTGTGCAACAACGTCTATGTAGTACAGCTTTCGGGGGGTTGTGCACACTTCGTTTAGTGTGTTTGTTAGATTACTCTACTAGCTCATTATGTATCAGTTTTTAGTTTACAAAGAAGGTACTGCCCCCAACTTAAAATATACAGTAAAGATCCAATATAAACACTAGCATTTCTCCAGCTGTGTCATGGAGAAAATGTAGACAGCTCTAAGTAATAACTGCTCAAATGCATGAAACAACTAGGTTAAAACAAAGGCTGATGTGCACAGTCCTGAGTGGCTGCATCTGTAGTATAGCTATTCTGTTCCTTCATATGGTAATTCAGAACACACTTTATTCAACACAAATTGCATTGGTCTATGTAATGCCTTTGGTTAAGATATAAGTTAAATAAGTTAGAACAGTTCATAGTTAAAAGCACAAATACAATAGTTAGAATCTTGGTTTGGAAAAACTCATCAGAGTGAGAGGTCTTCACGCTGTGTATCTCTGGGATTGTGAAAAAAATAAGGAGTGAGAGCTCTCACCAGAGTTAGAATATAAGTTTCTCTCTTCTTTTCTAGTAAAGAAGTTTTTTTTTTCTTGGGGGCAGGGGCTTTTCCTTAACTGAATTGAAGGTCTTAAGGGTGTCATTTAATTTTAATTTACTGAACCTATGTTATCTGTGTGTCTGTGTTATTGTGCTTTTTTTTTTTTTTTTTTTTTTTTTTTTCTAAAATTCTATTTTAGTCATTTATTGTGATTTTATTCTGCCATGTAAAGTACTTTGGTCTACTGGATGTTGTTTTTAAAGTACTATGTAAATACATTTGATTTGATTCATATTTTTCAAATTTGTGATTTGTCAACATGGGCTAATAAATAAAATTTAAATTAAATTAACTCCACTGTTCAATTTGTCAAAATGTTCTTTATAAATAATTTGAACAGTACAAACTGTACTGGGGTGAGGTCACACGTGGCAGAGTCAGTCACGATATGAAACTATTGCTATGGCTCGATACAGCTACAGGAAGTGAGAATATACTGGGGTTTTCTTTTTGTGATTTGTATGGTATGGAACATCATGTACAAACTCTTGCAGAGGAAACTGCAAGTTAAAAATTTCCCTGAACAGAACAGAAAACCAGTTCTTACCCATTGTAGTTCACTGACCCAGTCGCCATTCTGGAAAGCGATATTTGTTGAAAGTGGTGGGGGATAAATTCTCAAATCCTTTACTCAAAGCACTAACAAAACAATGCAACAATATTAATATCAACAATTACATTTTAAAAATACAGTTTCCATTTAAAATCTTGTAGATCAACATCATAACATCTCACAAAAATAATAGGCATTTAATGTAGCAATAAAATGTTTTGAAGAATCCAGATTTCATCATTTAACTATTTCCAAGAAACCATTTCTTGGAAATATTTTTGGATCGCATCATCTCAATTTTAACTCAGTCACTTAGTTGTAACCAGGCATCCTTTATCTATATTTATAGAATGTAGTTATCTAGCAGTGGAAAGTAACTAAGTAGGCCTATGTTCACTCAAACTTGATTATAATTGTAGGTAATGTATCCTTTGCTTGTGTGCGTATCGCGGATTCTAAGCAATTCATCCCTTTTATGTTTGTGCAAATTAAATGCAATTTTCACAAATCGAAATGAGTATTTTAAATCTGAGTTTAAATGAGTTTTAAACCTTTGTCACGCCACAACAATCAACAATAATGCCTCCCTTTACTTTCCTCTAAAGCCAGAATCGGAAGCTACGGTCACATTAAGGTAATTTAAACTTACATTTTGAAAGCAGTTTTAGCAGCCTACTGTAAAATAAACTATGGAACTCTTGTTTTCGATTAGCGTTAATGTTAATAAATAGTTTACCAGAAACGCGCGATAAACATGGTTGACCATAAAAAACGTATCAAACTCAAATAAACATAGTTACCACGGCTGAAGACCAGTCGCCTTGCCTTGCCTAACTAACCTCTCAAACGCGGAAAACGTTGAGCGCAGTCACAAGCTCTGTGTTTTTCGACATTTGACTGACAAGAGATGAATTTATCAACGTAGAGCTCCATCAAAAGGATAGAAAATACTGACAAAGGAAACCACTTAAAAGCAGCTACTCACCGTTGTTAGTAATCAGTAAATGAAACAGAGAGAACAATGAAGCCCTTCTCCTTGTTAAACATCTCCACCTCAGTTGTTTACAGGAACCTGACACCAAACTACGACTCCATCTATTGGCTGCATCAAGGATCACATGGTGTGATCTATCCTTGGTGTGTTCCACTGTAATGTCAGAGAACTAGTTTGGTCTGCTGAATAGGAAGTCTCTCTAGTGATCGGAGGTTTGATTTGATTTATACTTTCAAGCATGTAAAGACAGTTGATATGACAACACACATAATTTTACACATATCCAACAAATGCTAATCCAATA